AAAATAAAATTAAAAATAAATTATATGGAGTATTTGTATTAGAAAACAGAATTTTGTTAATATGAATCTTAATACATTCTTTAGCTATTTAACTTTCTTTAGGAAAAATGATAGGCATATTTAAAAACTGACAAGTTAGAAAATTATTCAAACACCAGAGAAGCAATTCTATTGGAAACTAACGTCAGTCTCACCATTCAGTAACTTAGTAAAGAAGTAAGAACATCAAACGGGCTTCATATATACTGAGAGAGACCAAGAGTAATTCATTAATAAATGTTGCTAGCAAATCAAGAGAAAAGGCAGAATATAGTTTAGATATAATTATTAACAAAAATGCCTTGAGAGCATACCTGTTATCTTTCTTCTATATAAAAAGGCACCTTTCACCCCAGAATAGGGTATTTTGGTTAGTCAAACATTTCTCTTAATCACAACATATACTGCATATGAACTACCAATTTTTAAGAACTTTATCTAAAAAATAATTTAAAACTATATTGAAAATAATTAAACCCAGAAGATTCTTTAAAATCGTTCCATCTCGAGATTCTCATTCCAAATAGGTATTTGACGACATTGAAAAGTTGGTCCTGATGTAATTAATACCATATTTCATCAATTCTAAAAAGCACATTTGTTCATGTATTCAATTTCTGAAACTGGGATACATCTTTTATAATTGAAGGGATCTTGCCATTGCTGTCGGTTTGGATTAAAGCAGAATTTTTCCAGAGAAGATGTACTACATCTGCCTCTGCCAGTCATCTGAGAATACCATTAACCTGACAACAGTCTTAATCAAATCCTCTGTGGCAAGATTTTGTGGCTCACACTGGTGCTATGACTTCCAATACCAAACTGATGGCTTGTCGTTCAAATTCTCAGGGGAGATTTCCTTTCCTCCCTCTACCAGTGCCAAGTTTGAGACTTGCAAGTTTCCTTGTTGTCCCTTTTCTGCACTGCCAGGTGATTTTCTCATTTGTCCTCAGACAAAGGGTACCAGCTTTGTGCAAAAGTTCTTTTTCCTTCTTAGTGGTACATAAAGTATTGGTATTTCTCACCATTTATGATGTCCTAGACTTGATGAAATACAGTACTTTAAATAGGTTTCTAGTCTCTATACTATAGGTTCTAGAACTTCTGTACCACTAATCATTAAATTATAAACTTCTTTTATTACCCTTAGTATTTTCTACTTAAGCCCTTAGCTTTACATCCTGAAAACGTATGGCAAGGTTTCACCATATTTCTATAAAGAATTACATTAACATGTACAGTTAAAAATTCAGAAAATGTCTATTTATAATTTATTTCTTCAATCTAATTCCTAATACTAAAAACAGGATAACTTATGATGATTTTCCCATTTCTAATTAAAAAAACAAACTTTTAGCTTTTTCCTCCAAATATTTAGAATCCTAAAACTTAGAAGGGCAACTTATAAAGAAGACATACAGGATCTGCCTCTGAATTACTCAGAACAATGGAGTCCATTCTCCAGTGAAACCTGTGAGAGCCAGGACACGACAGGACCACTTGGTTTTACAAGGTTTCCACCTTTGACAGGGTGCGGTCTTACCACTTTTCTATCACTTGTTTTAGTGGAATATATTTGAGTTTTCCTCTCTGACAGGTTTCCATCTTACACAGATTTAGCTGTATTTAGATTTGAAATATCAAAAGTGTTGTCATCTTTCTAACCAATTATTACAAAAGAGCCTCCATTTTCCTTAATAATTCATTCAGTACAGAGGACAAAACTGAAACTCAGTAAGGTAAGATAAATAATCCTCTCTCAAAGATGCATATGATTGTTCCCCTTAAATACAGAACCCTAATAATTAATTCTTTCCAAAAACTGGAACAGAGTCCAACAGCAATACATTCATGAGGAAAAAATGCAAAGTACATGGTAATGCAGCAAGATTATACAGCAAAGAAAGGGTATAAGGAAAAACGACCTTAAAATGATTCAATTATATGTTTTAAGACAATCCCACAATCTGGATGACCAGACTGTAAAGAACTCATTTCACTGATCACAGTTGACCTGTCCTACTTAGCAAAAGGAAACTTTTGAGATAGTTTGGTTTCCTTTATGATCAACTTGCACGAAAGGCCACCTTTGATAACAGCTGACATTTATTAAGTACGTAACTTCTCATTAAATGTTTGTGACTACTTTTAATTATCACTATTATTTTATTTTACAGATGAGGAAATTGAGGCTTAGAAATCTTAAACACATGTCCATGGCCACCCAGCTCCTGTGCTAAAACTGGTAACCCCGATCTGCTATCAGCTGGTGCCTACCAGCATCAGACATTTACCACTACGGCCTCTGGGAAAGCAAGACGGTCAAGCTCCAACCGAGAAAGACAGACACCAATTCTAATGACCCTACAAAGGGCTCAGAGGGGGAACAAATGATAAGGACATGTAGAAAGGTAATGAATAGTTGACCTACACAAATCAACTTTAATTATTATAGTTAATGCTTCTTTAAATAAAGAGCATTCAAAACATATTTACGGCCTATATAGTTTCTTTGGAAAATATTAAATTAGTTTTTATTCATAACAATTCTTTCATGTATATTACACTGGTTGGATTTCAGTGTATATAAACCCCTGACACACACTCACAGCACACACACTCACAGCACACACTTAAGTATATACACATGTATAGACTATAACAGTGAATTATTACTGTTTTCAACATGATTTGGGCTGAAGGTGTATTGTGAACACACAATGTTCCTGACATGTCACTTCATCTGAACTGTCTCCATCAGTGAGAAAAATTATAAGAAAAATAAAAGGAATTTACTTTTCTCTGTGACTTTTCTGAAGTAGCAGAAGAGTGTTTTAAGCTTCTCTGGTTTCCTTGATGAACGTCCTTCAAACAACCTGAAAGAGATCAAAAATAAACAAGGTGGAAGATGATTTAAAATGTCTTAATGATTCACGAAAAAACGAAATCTATATTTTTATCAAGGATTAAAAGGAACAATTCTCCTAGGACACAAGTGCGTAATGATAGAGAACTGAAACTGGTTTGGATTCAAATGGCATCTGGAGAGGTCTGAAACCAACTTAACCCAGGCTTCTTCAAAGTTGTACAAGTCAGAGGCTCTCTCTAACACTCTCATTTCTCCAATACATCTTGCCCAGGGAGAGGTACCAGCTGGCTCCCCAAAGTCAATTAGGGTCAGCAAGTTAATACATGGCTGTTTCCCAAAGGCAAATACTATTTATAATTCATAATATTACTAGGTAGTTAAATGACTGAACAAAAATGGCATCTGAAAAAAATCCACATCTGATTGTGCTGGACACGGAGAAGAAAAGGGTAGGTATGATAAGATATTGAGGGTAATTAGCCTTGGTAATTAAACAAATACGCCCTTTGCATGGTAACAAAAACAGTAAACAGTGCCTACTCTGTGTCATCTAGTTTCCAGCAACCTGGGCTTGCATTACTTAATTCAGTTTTCTTTGAAATGACATGGCATTGTTATTAGTAACACATAATGCAATTTATCCTGAGGAAAGAAAAGCAGGGCTGTAGAAGCATGTGACCTGAGTAAGTAGTTCACTAAAAGATTTCAAACACAAAAGCATGCTTTCGGGCGTGAGATCTAATTTTCCAAAGGCATTTAAAAACTATGGAGAGATTCAGTGGCTATAAATGATGAAGTATTATTCATCTGTCTCTAATCATACACTCTGGCTTTAAAACCAGAAACCCTCCAAGTGAAAGTCCACTTTAATAAGTGCTGAAATGGGTAAAATTTTTCATGGTTAGAAAAGCAAACTTATGTAACTATACAGAGAGGGAAAAACAAATTCCATGAAGAAATCCTACTGAGCCACTGAAATGAACTAGGAAAAGGGAAGGAAACGTAGCTTTCAAATGATCTTGTTTTTGATGATCTAAAATATGTATGCAGGGTCAATTTATGAAAAAACAATTCATATGAATACTTGTTAAAAAGAATCCTAACATCAGATAAAGAAATTCGTGTTTTAACCAAATCTAAACACTCAATACTTTAAAGATAGTGTAAGAGTACCTGTGTGATAATTTTTACTCCTCTAAAAAAACTTATCTTTTAAAAATGTACACATATACTCTTGGAATCCAGCTGCCTGCTGAAAGAAAGCCTCTTTGAGAATGCAGGTTGCAACCTGGTTTCTTCTGTAACATGTCAACCAGAAGAGTGAAAATTTAAGTTAAAATGAAGAAGCCACTTAGCAGTTTGACTAAACATCCTGTATCAAATAAATAATGAGGTACTAAATGAATACCTTGGGATCTATTGTAAAATCCCTTTCTAGGCTTAATACTTAATAGAGGGAAGCAGTATGAACATAAAAGCAGCCACCACCTATTTCTAGAGATGAACTTATGTACTACGCAATTCAATTAAGGTGAAAAGTTCCTCTTCAACAGAACTGCTACATAGTAAGGAAAAAATGGCTGCTGCCTTTAAGAAACAATTCCCCCCAAAAAAGAAAACACGTCCCTATCTTCTCTGTGTGTTCAGCTGTTCGTAAAATCACATGAAAGTTCATATATTTCATAACCATGATGAAAATTATTAATCTTAGGAGCCATTCAAGACTGCATATTTATTACCCCAGCGATACAGACTTTACTGAATGATTGTATGGCTGTTATTGTAACCCACTACAAATGAGCACCATTGTTTATTTTCCAGGCCCAAACGTTGTAGGTAGAAATCAAATAGAATCTTAATTTATCCTGTTTACAGTTACTATAAGCCTAATTTCAAATCACTATGTAACCAAATATGCCTTCCCATCTTCCTAACCGAGCAGGGAAGTGGGGGGAAGGTGGAGAGAAAGTAGGGGGAGGTTAAGTAAGTTTAAAATCTCGTACCAATTCTTAGACTTGTTGTTGTGAAATTTTAAAGTAGTAGGTCTAGCCACTCAAGTTAAATGAATTATCCTGTATGAAAGCAAGTAAAACAAAACAAAATAAAAAACCAGAAATATGCAGGCAAACAGCATAAGTGAAAGCCTTACAAGAGACATGTACTTTCTGAGGGACAGCGTGTGGGGTGAGGGAAGAGGGACAACACAGAGAAGGGGACTGAGGACAGAGCCTGGGAAAGGGGCGAGACAGCCGGATGCGGCAGGGAAGAGAGAGGACAGAGATACGGACAGAAAGGGTGTTGGAGACAGACAGACAGGTAGAGTGGGAGACAGAGAGACTGCATGAGAGAGAGAGAGACTCAGAGAAAGGGAGACATTCTCATAACACACAAGCACCATACAATTGCCTTTTTCTGGAATGCAGATTTTCTGATTTCTGGGTATGTATATTTGAAGACATGCATGTAAAAACGCACAGAAACTCAGGCCATAATAACCCCTCCACATTTTAGAGGACATTTAGGCATTTACCTGAATGGTAAGCACAGATTTTAAAAGAAAGTAAACAGAAAAAGCCAGTCAGGCAACCTCACCATGTTCTAAACAAAGCTGTTTCTATTTTCAAGGGAAGAAGTCAATCAAGGGTCAGATACTTATTAACTGGTTTTTCTATCCATATATATAGAGAAACATAGTTTAATAAAATCTTTCCCTGAAAGGAATATTGATAACATTACTGGAATTGGATTCTAGACACACACACACAACTCCCATGTGATTTCAAGTTAAGGAGTAATCTCATTAGTACATAGTAAATCAAGCCCAAAGCACTATGACCTCCACTTTAAAATGGAAGCAAGCGATAACAGGAATGCAGCCAGAAAGTCGTCCTTGGCTTTTCTGTGAGGCACTCTGCCATATGGCCCACCAGCATGTTCAGCCCAGGGAAGAGGCAGATGTAAAAGCCTGCAACCTACAATTTATCTCTGACCATCTAGTTTCCAAGCAATCTCAGAAGCATCAATGCTAATCACATTGGAAGCCTTTATATGAATGCTCAGGCCCTGAAAAGCAAGCAGGGGAAAAGGTCAGGAGTATTTAACATAACTAAGGAGGGCTGGAAGAACACAACAATAAATTTAAAAAAGGAAGACTTATTGAATTTATTGACGTCAGCCTCCCACCACATACTCTTACCATTTTTCTTATTCAATCAACTAGCCAGCCGTACCTCTTTTTAGATTAAATACACTCACACACACACAACACCCAGTGGTCAGAAACAGTAATCATAAACAGCAGCTATGTAAACAACAACGACAACAAAATGCTTTATATTCTGCTTACCAAATAGCTCATCCCATTAGTACTTAATTTTTCAGAAGCCACATGAAAAAGGAGAACTTCTGGTTGCTTTCCATTTCTGGAGCTCTACCAGACTGTTTTGCTTCTGAGAGCAGCTAGACATAATGGAAGGCTCTGAAGAGAAGACAGTGTTCAACAAGCCCCAGTTCTGCTGACAAGTTACTTATCCTCTCTGAGCTTTATTAGTATAGTATTAGTACAGAAGCTTTCCTGCTGAGACACTTCACAGACAGAAACAGAGTGAGCTGTCTACAGACAGCATCAGCAGTCACAGTCGCTGGTCCCGTGCTTGCTAGTTGAGGCCTGTTACAGAACACACCATCTCACAGTAAGAGGCAAGTGCAGACATCCTGGCACTGGGGGGCCCTACAACTGGGGAGACAATCACAGGTTTGTCTGCCTGCATTAATGCTCAGTGTTCTGGTGTCCAAAAGAACATGCCATCAGCCAGGAAGAGAACAGGCCTGATGTCAAATCTTCAACGGACCTACTCAAACTACTATTTGGTGAAAATGCTGTTGGGATACTGTAAGCTGAAATCCCTCATGGTTACTCTGGACTGACAAATGGCTTTGGTTCATTTTAGAGATCAAGAATTATTTCTAAGGATAGTCCTAACTAATAGTCCTAATTTCTGACTAGCTATGAGGTAAGAAGCATTAATCTGGTTCATTCAAAGGGAAGCTGTATAGCACACTCATGAAAGGACACAGACTCTAGAGGCAGACTATATCCTGAGTTTGAATCCCAATTCCACTAGTTACTAACTCCGTTAATCTGGTGAAGTTACCTACCTTCTCTAAGCCTCTGTCTCCTCATCTGGAAAATGAGAATAATAATAATGCCTAATTCATAAAGTTGATATAAGGATTAAGTAAAAAATGATTTAGCACAGTGACTGGCACATGGTAAATGCTTAATAAATATTAGCTATTGTTATTAATTCTCATGTTAAAAAAAAAAATTCAGATAATGCTGAGTAAGCAGAGATGCTTGGGCTGGAACAAAGCATTACATAATACCCAGCAAAAAAAATTAATGTTCATTTACATAAAATGTTTGCATGGTTCTAATTCATATTCCCTTCATTAGGAAAAATGGCATGGGCTCTTTTCCTATCAGCCTAACATGCTGACCTCAGAGCCAATTAGCTTATGTCTTCAGGATAAATTACAACAGCACAATGAAAAAGATAAAAGCACAATTACCAAGAAGTCCCAGCATTCTCCTGCCAGAATTGTAGCTGAAAAACACAGATGTTTTAAAATTAAAGCATATATTAAAATTAATATAAATTCTAGTAACTAGAAGCAGAAACTGGGAAGCCACCAACATCAGGACTTGCCAAGATTTCTTGACGTCTATCCACCAACCATCCCAAACCTGTGGGTTCATTTTATTGTTAAGAAAAGAAGTCTGTGAGCACTGCAGTCTCCCAGTTATCAGAGAACTCTCTGTTGACTTTTATTTCTTATACATGCTGAACAGAAAAGGAATGGAAGTAATAGGTGAAGTGGGGGCAATGATAATGATGTCTATGGAGGTATATTTAGGAAGGAAACAGCTACTCTTGAAAAAGATTCAAAAAGTCTGTGGGATTCCATCCTCAAAACCAAATTACAAGAATAACAAAGTAGGAGGACTCACATTTCCAGATTTCAAAACTTACTACAAAGCAACAGTAATTAAAACAGGGTGGATAGACACATAGATTAAAGGAATTGAATTGAGAATCTAGAAAGAGATCCATATATCTATGGCCAACTGACTTTTGACAAAAGTGTCAAGTTCATTTAATAGGGAAAGAACAGTCTTGTCAACAAATGGTGCTGGGACAACCGAATTTCCACATGCAGAATAATGAAGTTGGACCCCCTACCTCACAGCATATAAGAAAATTAACTCAAAATAGATCAATGACCTAAAGGTAAGACATAAAAACTTTAGAATAAAATATAATGGTAAATCTTCAGGACTTTGCATTTGGCAATGAACTCTTAGATACGACACCAAAAGCATGAACAACAAAAGACAAAACAGGTAAACTGCACTTTGTCAAAATGAACAACTTTTGTTCATCAAAGGACATTATCAAGAGAGTGAAGAAATAGTCTTCAGAATGGAAGGCAGTATTTAGAACTCATATATCTGATAAGGGTTTAACATCCAGCATATATAAAGAACTCCTACAACTTAACAACAAAAAGATAAAACCACACAATTTAAAAACAGGCAAAAGGACTTATATAGACATTTCTCCAAAGAAGATATACAAATGGCCAATAAACACATGAAAAGATGCTCAAAGTCATTAATCATTAGGGAAATGCAAATAAAACCCAGAAAGGGGTACCATTTCACACCTACGAGGGTGGCTAAAATAAAAAAGACACACATTAACAAGTCTTGGCAAGGACATAGAGAACTGGAACCCTCATCCATTGCTGGTAGGACTGTAAAATGGTGCAGCCACTGTGGAAAACAGTCTCGTGGTTCCTCCAAAAGTTAAACACGGAATTACAGCAATTCCATTCCTAGAGTTATATCCAAAAGACTTGACAGCAGGTATTCAAAGAGATACTTGTACACCATTGTTTACTGCAACATTATTCACAATAGTCAAAAGGTGGAAACAATTCAAGTATCCATCAACAGATGAATGGATAACAAAATGTGATGTATAAATGCAATGGAATATTATTCAGCTGTAAACAGAAGTGAGGTTCTGATACGTGCTATAACGTGGATGAACCTTGAAAACATTATGCTACGTGAAAGAAGACAGATGTAAAGGTGAAATATTACAGATTACACTTACACGAAACATTTGTTGTTGTTTTAGGTGCCGATGAGTCAGCTCCAACTCACAGCAACCTTATAGGACAGAGCAGAACTGCTCCATAGGGTTTCCAAGGAGCGGCTGGTGGATTTGAACCGCCGACTTTTTGCTGGTTAGCAGCCGAGCTCTTACCACTACGCCACCAGGGCTCCATATAAAATATTTAGAATAAGCAAATGAGAGACAGAAAGTAGATCAGAGGTTGCCAGAGGCACTGGGGAGAAGGGATTGGGCTGTTATTGGTTAATGGATACTGAATCTCTATTTTGGGTGATAAAGTTTTGGAAATAAATGTTGGTGATGGCTGTATGCCACTGTGAATATTATTAAAGAAATAATAAATAATGATAGTATTAAATTGTGACTCATAGAATGAAATAAATATCTCTGAGTCTATCATAATATAAAAAATGGTTGGATTGGAGACCTTCTTCCTTACAGTAGAATTCCAATCAATAAATGTAGATGGAAAGAGGGAAACACAAAAATCATAATAGGTAAACATCAAAGTAATAACTGTTACAGATAAGATCCAAAAGTGGATGCTAAAATTAGTGGAGGTGGGTGAGGGGGATGTGAGGCAAAACAGGATTTGCATAATGCCGAAGTCTCTCCCTCAAGACACTTACTAACCCCAAAGGGAAGGCAGTAATGTTAGAGGGGAAAACTGGCAGACACCGTCTTAAGCAGGTGCTCACCACTAACAAGACATATCCCTTGATTCACTGAGAAGGATGTAACATCATTTTACGGGACAGAAAAGGCCAGCAGAAAATTGGCTGAACTGAAACAAGTAAATAAGCAAGTAGTTAATAGTTTTCTACCAACGTTAACATCCTAGTTTTGATAACTGGACTACGGTTACATAAGATGTGAATATGAGGTGAAGCTGGGTAAGGTGTATACAGGCATTCTTGGTACTATTTCTGCAAAACAAAAAGTTCTTTTAAAAAAACTACATTTAAAAAGTGAAATAAAACAAGTGCACCACTCAACTTTGAAGACAGAAACAGTATGGCAGCCACAAGTGTGACTCTGCTCTCTAACAGTACCTTCCTGCTCTGTCACTGCCCACACTGCCCAACTCTCACAGGCAGGAGATGGGTGGAGGAGGACATTTGCATAAAGTACTAAGAAAGAGGAGAATCTATTATAATAACTTTCTGACGACTTCCCCCTGATATTAGGGAAGAAAACTCACATTCTATTCACAGATGTTATAAAGACAATTCTTAAGTGAAGAAAGAAGAACAGAGACAGAGAAAGAGAGAGAGAAAAATGATATTCATTCGCCAAGAAGAGTCCTTACAATATTTTTGTTTGAGCAGACGACAGAGAGAGTACTCATTTGGGAAAACAGCTGGGATCTAAAACTTCATCAATATCTTCACAATTAAATCAATTCTTTTGAATAGAAAATTAAAGTCAATGGAAGTCAAGTTTCATTCTGCTTTTTATCTTCACAAGTGTGTTTTTCAACCTTAGTTCCATAAGTCTCACAAGACAGTCAGCCTTATGACTTTAGACTCACATTTTATAGGACCTTTACAGAAAGAAGGACTTTTACTCAGCTTAAATATTATATCAGAATATAAAGATTATAATGTACAACTGACATTCCCATGAATAATCAAACTGAAGAGGCCTAATGAGTACAGAGCACTCGGGAGGGGGACATCTGAGAGGATGGAAAGAACTTGGGCCTTGGAGGAAGCCAGCCCCAAGATTAACCTTCAGCACTGTGACTTACGGTCACTAGATCCTAAGTAAGTTCTTTAACCCCCACGAACTTTAATTACCTCGCCTGCAAAATAGCAAAATTATCACCTAACTCACAGTATTGTTGCTGTTGTTAGGTGCCGTCGAGCAACCCCGAGAACAACAGAACGAAACACTGCCCAGTCCTACGCCATCCTCACAATCGTTGCTTGAGCCCACTGTTGCAGCCACTGAACTCACAGTATTATAAAGATTAAATTAGGTAATTGTACATAAAATGCTTGGCTCATGGCAAATTACTACATAAATATCGTTAATTCCTTCCACCCTTCTCTATTTCATTGTTAAAAAGGTGTTCTCTGAAAACATACCGATTGAAGTTAATATCTGGGTAACTAGAATACTCCGATTTCATCTTAGCATTTCGTCGTGGAAACGTGCAGAAAAAAGCATTAGCTAAAAGACTGGCAATCTGTTCCTGCGACACTGTGATGGTATGATTCATCTTCTGCTTCAGGAGTGGTATTGGCTGAGAGGGGAAACAAAAAATACAGACAAGAAGAGCAATAATTAGTTTAGCAATTTCAAAAGCAGAAGCACCAAATTGCATTTGCTAAATTAGGGGAGAAGTAATTTCAGGCCACTCTTGAATTCTTAAATCAGCAATACTGTTAAAGTCAAGGGATGTTTATCAAGGATGATTGGAAAAATGTTCTTGTTTGACGAACTGCAGATTGCTAATCAATAATAATGATAGTAAAGAGAACACAAAACATTATTTATTAGTGAAAAACAAGATTGCTTTAGCAAGTAAGAAGTAAAAACACATTACTTATGTAATGAAAAATTAAAATAAAAGATGAAACAGAAAACTGCAATACTGGGTTTAGCTATTGTTGCTTATGCTAAATTTTGTTCTCACATTAAAGATTGTTGGACAGAGTAATTTTTCTACTTTACTCCTAAATAAAATGATCTAAGGAACATATTGAATAAATAAGTCTTTCTCTCTTATTCTGAATCACACTTCACATTGACAATTTCTTTATGAGACCCACATCTAATTTCATTAAAGCAATTAATGTAACATGGGAAAACTATCAAACAGAATTGGGTGTAACCTGAAATAAGACAGGCATTCACTGCATACTCAAACGTTTTAAGTCAAGGACAATGTAAAACGTTTTTCCTCAAAACATTTTATATATGAAATATCTTCTAGCCAAACTCAAATTCACTGACCCTTCATTTTCAGTATAATCCACAGGACTTGAGTATTGTGTTCAGTGGATTTTATTCTATTTTAAATGTTTAAACCATATAGTTTGAAAGATTTGATGGTAAAACCAAAGACCAACTGTCAATCTACTTATCAATTAAATTTTAAAATGCTCCAATATAATATTTAGAGATGCTTTTTATTCTCCCTTTCAATAATACCAAGAAGTAAGGATACTGGGTATCTGCACTAATTTAAGCAGCTTGCAGAGAACTGTCCTAACCATATCTCCAAGAATGAACATCCAAAATCAAACGGAGGAAAGTCAGGCAAGGGAAATCAAAGCCATAATGCTGTAACAATTAAGTTTTTTCTAAATAACGGGAAACACACATCATGGCTAGAATAAGAGTTTGCTAGGAAGAAGAAAAGGTTAAACTTGAAGTTCGACCATTTCTCTTGGAAAAAATAAAAAGTAAACAAATAAGCAAAAGGTAAATAATTTATTTTCACTACCAAAAAAACCAAACCCACTGCCGTCCAGTTGATTCCAACTCATAGTGACCCTACAGGACAGAGCAGAACTGCTCCATGGGGTTTCCAAGGCTGTAATCTTTTATGGAAGCAGACTGCCACATCTTTCTCCCGTGGAACAGCTGGTGGGTTCAAACTGCTGACCTTCCGGTTAGTAGCTGAGTGCGTAACCACGGTGCCACCAGGGCTTCCTATTTTCACTACAGTATCCAAAATTCTCTCTCCTTTCAGGTCTTAATGATTATTACCATTTCTAAGAAAGAGGAAATAGAGAGCTTATATTCCACCCTACACATTTATTCACAACCCAGCACCGTTTGAAAAGGTGTCAGTGTGTCAATGATTTAAAGCAAACTTATTTGGCTTTCGTGAAAAATGAGTTTTTTAACTACCATTTTCCAAGTTATAAAGGAAAATGATTAAAAAATTAATGATGAATATTTTAGGTTTAGTTGATTCTAAGCACAAACATTTCTTGTTTCCCAAATAACCAAATATTACAATTTTAATATAGTAAATGATTTCTGTTCTCTTGGGGAAGACAAATGCCTGAAAGTTGATGCCTGGGGAAAATGTGAGAAGAGTCTAGTTACTATGAACCAAGATCTTTAAAAAAGTCCCTGTCCAATGCATCTATGTGATGGTGTTTGCACACATATTCATATATATAATAAAGCACATAAAGGGCATAGTTACTGATACTTCTTAGATATAACCAAATACCTCGTAGGATTAGATTTCTCGGTTTAAAGGATTAGGACCATAGTCTTGTGGGACAACTCAGTCAACTGGCATAATACAGTTCATAAAGTTACATTCTACATCCTAGTTCGGTCAATAGTGTCTGAGGTCTAGAAAGCTTGCAAGCACCTTCTAAGATACAACTTTTGTTCTCTACTTGTCCATAGCAAAACAGAAAGAAAGAAATCAAAGACTCAAAGAAGAAACTGGTCTAGAGGACAAAAAGTCTACGTGAACGACAGCCTCATCTACCTTGAGACTAGAACTAGATGGTACCCAGCTACAACTACTGACTGTTCTAATGAGGGCCACAATAGATGACCCTAATAGAATGGGAGAAAAATGTGCAACAGAACCTCAAATTCCTTAAAAAGAAACAAAACAAAAACAGACCTACTGGACCAGTTGAGACTAGAGGACTCCCTGAGACTACTGCCCTGAGATACTCTTCAAACCTTCAACAGAAACTAACCCCTCAGGTCACCTTGTAGCTAAACAACAAATTGGCTCAAAAAATAGTATCACCCATAAGTACTGTGCTCCTTTAGAAAATCACCTATATGAGACCAAACGGTCAAGAATTACTTTAAAACAAAGGTGAGAATGTAAGGGGGCAGGGAAACTAGATTAATGGAAACAGAACAATCAGAATGGAAGTAATGAGAATGTTCCCACATTGTGAAGAATGTAACCAATGTCACTGAACAACCTGTGTAGAAATTGTTGAATGGGAACCTAAACTGCTGTGTAAACTTTCAGCCAAAACACAATAAAATATTAAACAAACAAACAAACCAAAAAAATCAACTTTCTCTCCTAGGCATAAGGAGAGAGGAAAAAGTGATTCATGTCTAAAGGTTATATACTGTCAACTGTGAACTACACATTAAATTCAAAGAACATTTAACGAGCATGCCCCACGCTACACCTGGGGACACAAAGAGGATCTGCCTTCAGAAAGAATACAGTCCAGTGAGGGGAGCTATAGAAACACATAAATCACAAAACAGTGTGCTAAGTATGATCTGAGTGATACAGGAGGATTGATCTTGGCTGGTAGAGTCAAGGAAGGCTTCACAGTAGAAGTAAAAATTAGGCTGAACCTACAAGGTAGTGAGAGACATTACTAAGTAAGAAACAAAGCAGGGAGGGAAAGGAAAAAGAATGAACGTGGAACGTTAAGTAAGCAAATAACTTCCAACATAAACAAGAAGAAGATGAGTTTTAAAATGTATTTTCCCTTTCCAATAGAAAAATGTACTTCAGACACATGCATTAATGAGGAGAAATTAAAATTACATGAAATTGGGAATACCACAGTAAAATGCTAACGAATATGGCACACTGACAAACGTTCAGTGGTTTCAGCTGCAGGTGGCAACTTCCCCAAGCAGGCATTTGGACATGTTGGGAGGTTGTGTTCTGGATGCCCCAATGACTGTGCTTGTGGTTTTTGTGCTGTCCCAACGACATACCGCAATGTGCAGGACCATCCCACATATTAAGAAACCGTACCACCCAAAATGTCCATAGAGTGGGTCCCTGGGAATAACAGTGTTAGCAGAACCCTAGCTAACATCCACGCAGCAAGGGGGTTTTCCCCTAGAAATAAAAGACAAAGGCAAATTCAAATCTTCTAGCCACTGTTGTGAAAAACACAGAAAGAAAATTATGAGAAGCAAAACGAAGCAGTCCCCTACGAAAATATGTCCACATGTTCTTTCATATTCCTCCGTTTAAGAGGTGAAGTCTAACATCCCCTACACTTGAGTACGGGCTGGACTTCGGGACTAGCTTCTAATGAACAGTGGAATTGAAGTGTGTGACTTCAGAAACTAGGTCATAAAGACACTGCAGCTTCCTCGCTCTCTCCCTTGCATCACTCATGCTGGGGAAGTTAGCTGCCATGTTGTGAGGACAGTCAAGCAGCCTATGGAGAGGCCTGTGGCAAGCAACTGAGGCCTCCTGCCAACAGGCACGTAAGTGAGCCAACTGAGAAGTGGGTCCTCAAGCCCCAGTCAAGTCTTCAGACGATTGCACCCCCAGCCAACATGTGACTGCAAGCACAGAGAGAGCTTGAGCCAGAATCACTCAACTAAGCTGCTCCCCAACTCCTGACAGACTGGAACTTTGAGATAATATATGCTTGTTGTTTCAAGCCACTAAACTTGCAGGTAACTTATTATGTAGCAATATGTAATTGATATACCCCAAATAAAAATGAAATAATAATGGATATACTTTCTTCTACCTTTAAAAGTTAAGAAAGTACCATGATTATTTGTTATATGACACACCACTTTGGGGGGCATGAGGAAAGGTTGGGTGATCTTGAGCCATTTTGAAGACTGCCCCCCTAATGCCACTGAGTCAATTCCAACTCATAGCTGCTGTATAAGGACAGAGCAGAAGCGCCCCATAAGGTTCCCAAGACTCTGATCTTTACAGGAGCAGACTGCCACGTCTTTCTCCCATGGAGCAGCTGATGGGTTAGAACTACTGATCTTCCAGTTAGCAGCCAAGCACTTTAACCACTGCATCACCTGGACTCCTTATTTTGAAGGTAAAATGTTCTAAATCCATTAGTATGTTTTGAAATAATAACTCCTTTCTTAAAGTTAAGAGATTATTTAAAGAAAAAGAGAAAGAGAAGTCTGAGTAAGCTAACTTCCACAGTGTAAACTGAAGCTCAGAAATTGAATGTTGCATTTTTAATGTCCTTTTGCAGCATTCTTTCTAGCCTCTAACCTTTTCCTTAATATAGCAAAATTACCATATTCTTTGGCAAAAACTGTTTCCCATCTCTCTCCCTCTGACCTTGGCCATTAGAATTTAAAGAAATTCAACTGTTTTTGAGGCTCAAGAAAGCTATTGAAGAAGTTATATCCACTAACCTGGGTGCAAATATTTGGCAAACAGAGTGCAAGTTTCACCATATCAGGCAAAATGGACTGATATAAACGTTGAGCTTCTGTTTCTTCGAGTACCTGAAAAATCAATAAAATATGTTAACAGCGAATAATAACCAGCAAATAAATGTTTGTTATGAAATTAAATTACATATGTGCTTTTCATGGAATATTGTGATAAGGCACATTATCAGCACCATCAATCTCATGTAAAACTATACTTACAGTTACACTAATGAACTTACAAATTCATTTCCAAATATACATAATTCAACTTAATGCCCTCTGAAAATGAATTAAGTATTCTAAATATCAAAGACCTCTCATATCAACATTCACAATTAAATAAAACACTTAAAAATGAAGAAGCCCACATTCTGCCCTTGCCTACATCAACGAAAAGCTGCTAGACCACCAAGGATTCACTCAGAAGCCCTCAAGGACCCACCTAGAATTTTTAAAAATCATCATAAAAGCCACACTAATTATTCCAGAGCATATTATATGTGCCAAATCTAACCTACAGGGTTGTAAACAATGAGGTTTCCTAATGACCTGAGAATTTTCCTTTTCTAGGCACCCTTGGGAAGTTAAAATCATAATTCCCATATCATAACTTGGAGTACAACAAAGGCAACATTCATGATCCATTTTTGTCTTTTATAATTTCCCATCTCTACAAAGCTTTAGAAATTATTTCATGCCTTTTAAAACTTCAATTTCTCTCTAAATATCAGGGCATTTGTTTAAAAGTACTGAAAACAACAACATTCTTAATTGAGAAATACTACATACACAGTCAGGGTTGAAGTAAATCATTTATCTACTTGAAATTACATTCGAACTAGAAAGGTGTCAGTTATAATCCATCTGATCCCATCATTATTACAGATAACAAAATATGGAGGCCAAGGAAGTTACCTGATCTTCCTAGGCTGATGAGGTCAATTACCAACAAAATCAGAACTAGAACCCCCAGTGTTCTGGCCTCTACCCCACAGCTCTCCCCACTTCCTTATGTCACCAGTGTTTGACACTGATGAGGATACAGACTCTTCACAAATAGCTATAGATTTTCTTTGCTATCAGGAGACAAGCTGAAGTAAAGGAATATTTGTTTATCTGTGGCTGGATGGAGTATACGTGTGAACAGAAAAAGGTATAAAGAAAATTTACCTTCACTCTGGTTTCACAGGCCAGTTTCAACACTAGAATTTTCTTTATACCAAAGCTTTAAAACCCAACGTATGCTTACCTCCCTTTTTAAATCAGGATAATGGGAAAAGTGATATACAGAATGAACAGAAAGACGTTTGCAATTCAGGGAGTTTGGGGTTCAATTAATCATAAACATATAGAAATCTGAGGAAAACCCTCCGTGAGATGGTCTGACATGGTGGCTGCAAAAATGAGCTCAAATATACAAATGACTGTAAGGATGCAGCAGAAATGGGCAACGTTTTGTTTTGTCTTACATAAGGTTGCCAGAATTGGAGGCAACTTGACGGCAACTAACAACAGTGTATAGAAAACTAAGCAAGAGAAAAGCATTAAAAAAAAATTTTTTTTAAAAAAGCTAAAGAGTTCAAAGTTGTTAAGTGGTTGCCTCTTCATAATAACCCTTTTTAACTTTGATAAAAATCAACATGAAATTTAAAAAGACTCATATATTCATAGAAGGTATTCTACTATTTTAGAGCCACACACTAAAGATACTTGCCTTCCTGTACCTGAAAATACATAAACTATATTAGTGTATTTGTTTAAAATATTTAAACTCT